GGGCCGAGTAGGAGCACAGAGCACCCGTCTTTCATCCCTGACCCCACGTCTCCGGCACAGCAGGCAGCTTCTGAGGGAGCTCGGGTAGGTCTGTGGATTAGTTGTGGGGGTTAGTGGGTGGTGGGGAAGTTGATCACTAGGGTCGTGGACTATCAGTGGTCGACCACAGGCAGACCAAGAAGGTGGAGGGCTGGGGCAGTGGAGGAGGGGCCGGGTGGGCTGGCAAGCAGCAGTGAATGCGTCTTAGGTCCGGGTGTTACTGGGAGTGAAGGCGCACCTGGAGTCAGTGACGGCCTTGTGGGGGATGAGCGTCGGTGCCACGGGGCGGATGCGCAGCACCTCTCTGATGGTGGCCTCCAGCAGAAGGAGGTGGTTCCGGTCGCTGACAGTTGGGGTGCGACCGAAACCTACATTCTGGTCAATCTCCTTCTGGATCTTCTTTAGCAACTGGGGGCCAGAGAAGGGTGGTGTGACCACAGTGCTTTCAAGACCAGAAGCACGGGCTCTGAAGAGCCCTACTGTCACATCCATAGGAGCTGGCCCAGCCCCTACGGGGGGGGGGGGATGCTTTGCAGCCCAGGCTTTCCTTCTGGAAGGTGGGGCACTGCCACCCTAGGGTAAGGACGCAGTGGGCTAGTCTTCCCGCATAGAAACCCTGGGGGTGGCGCCTCGTTCTCTGGGGCCAGAGTTGCATCTGGCTGGGGTCAAGGGTGGTTGGGAAGACTGGAGTAAGGAGGAGCCCACCTGAGGGTTGTGCAGCAGGAAGGCCACTGTCCACTTCACCACAGAAGTGGTGGTCTCCAGACCAGCCCCAAAGATGTCCCCTATGGTAGCAAGATTGTGTCGATCTGTGAGCAGCATGGACTCCTGGTCTGAGCCATTGTTGTTATTGACCGAGTTCGCCTGCGCTTGAATCAGTATGTCCACCAAGTTAGTGATGGAGTCGCTGCTGAAGTTCTTCTGATGGGGTGAGATCGGGAAACAGTGGTAAGGAACACTTATCGTGGACAACACTCTACCACACTTCCATCCTAGACTGGAGATACAAAGGCTTCTTCCACTTGGAAGTGAGGGAGTGAGGTGAGTCTAGTCCAGACCTATGAGCTTGTGGAGGTGAGGCAGCTCTTGGTCCTCTTTAAATTTGGCGGGGGAGAGGGGTGGACCTGGCTGGTATGGCTCAGTAGATTGAGTGCTAGCCTGCTAATCAAAGGGTCGGAGGCTCAACTCCCATTCAGGGCACATGCCTGGGTGGCAGGCCAGGTCCCCTGCCTGCCAGGGGCGAACAAGAGGTGACCACATATTGATGTTTCTTTCCCTCTCTTTCTCCCTCCATTCCCCTCTCTCTAAAAATGAAATAAATAAAATCTTAAATAAATAAATAAATAAATAAATAAATAAATAAATAAATTTGGGGGGTAGTGGACAGGTTCCTTCTAGGATCTTCTTCATTCCTCACTTCCCCATCCCTATTCATTAGTTAAGTCAGTTTTTATTGAGCACCTACTATGTGCAAAGACTCTCTGCTAGCTGCTGGAGATCCTACGGTGTTCAAAGTGGACCCCAACCCCTGCTCTCAGGACACCTTCCACCTAATTCATTATCCCTTCTGTTCCATGGCCCACCTTATGTTTCTCATATATTGCACTCAGCAAATCATTTCGCATTTTAATGTAGTTCTTCATCATTTTCGTGGTTTTGTTGGGGAAAATCTGGAAAGCAGAAAGGAACATCAAACCCATCCCTCTCACATTTTGCTTTTACAGGTGCCAGAATCCCTCCCCGGGGTAGATCCCAGCCTTGCATCTCCAGGGAGCTCTGCTCCAACTCCAACCTTCAGCCAGAACGGAGGGCAAGATGGGGATGCGAAGGGGACCACCAACCACAACTAGGATGATTCCAAATGAGGGAGAAGGGGGCCGTCTCCACTCCCCCGACCCCTCTCTCCCCCCACACCGCCCCCCCACCGCCCCATTCAGTCAAACATCAGACACCATTTCCTTAGTAGACTCTGCTTTGTGCCCAGCCTTGAAGAGTAAGGCAGACTTGAGTCTGAAGCCCTGGGCTAGTTTCTGAACTTCTCAAGGCCTGTATACTCATCCGTCCAGGGATAATAAAACCCACCTCCAAGGGGAATGCCATGATTAATGCATGTGGATCGCTTGAAACTGGCACATGGCAGTTAGTACATAAATGCGAGCTGTTAATTATGCATGTTTAAAAAGCTAAACCTATGTATGTAGACAAGCAGCAGAGTGTTATGGGCCACAGGTGGCACAGGTCAGTGTGTCTAAGGCGACCCATAGAAACGCGGGTCTGGAACTCGGTGGTAAGAAGGAAGAATTGGGGGTGCGGCAGGGTCTGCTGGGATCTGCAGGGGGTGCCTGTTCTCACGCTCACCTTCAGTACAGGGAATATGTCTACCATACTCTTCTTGCCCAGCGATTCCATGATGCCTTCGTTGTATGTGTGTATGGTCTTCAACGCAGGATGTCCCTTCTTGAAGGAGGTGTTGAAGCAGATAAAGCAGATTATGTTGGTCACTGCCAGGAAGAGCGGCAAGGACAAGTCGATAGACTGGCCATTTTGGGTGTCCAGGAAATCACAAAATGAACTGATTTCTCGACATACTGAGGGGAGAGAAGGACAGGAGGTTGGGGAATTACGCATCACCCACACCCGGTCTCTACCAGTCCGTGTCAGGGACAGATAGCAGATGGCCACTAGATGGCAGCAGTAGCCAAGAAAACGCTAGGTGGAGCCCTCTGGGTCCCTTCTCCCTGCTCCAGCCCTCTTCTCCCTCCGGAGCCCCAGGGGCCCCACAGGGCACTTACGGATATTTTCTAGCTTCTGGTCTCCATCCTTGAACAAGGAAAAGGTGGCCCGCACCAGCTTCCGATGCAGCTGCCAGGCGTCACCGTAGTCGGCAAAGGCAACCCCCCTTTGCTCGTCTGACAGGATATCTAGAGTCACCTTTGGAAAGCAGGAAAGGCTGCAGGAATCAGACACGGCCCACCGGCCCTTGCCCCGGGTCTCTTGCACCCATTCCCCGGACCCAAGGGAGCCGTGCTGTGGGGCATCCCTGCATCTCTCCCCCGGGACTGTGAGACCTTGGTAGACCAGGGCCCAAGCCCCTCTAACTCCCGATTTCATCAGAGAAAGTGAGGAAGAAGAAGGGATGCTCAATTCGAATGCAGGGGTTCTGGGGTTCCATTCAAGGTCAGGGTCACCTCTGGGCCTCTCTTAACAGTTGCTGACTGAGTGGTTGGGAAGAGCAGCTGTCTATGGGGTAAGCTCTCTGAATCTCCCGTCCTGGGGGCAGGGGTGGGTGGTGGTGGGGCTCCTAGGGACTGAGGACTACCCAGACCTCTGCCTGGTCCTGGGTCCTCTGGGAGACGCTAAAGGCACAGGAGCTCACCTCCTTTTTGTGCACCCTTCCATGGCAAGGCTACATGCCCACAAAAGGCCACCCCCGAAGAGTGCAGATGTCTCATCCACCCAGTCTGAACTTGTGGTCAAGCCATCTCTTCCCAGAGGCCCACATAAAGCATAAGGCTTTAAAGCCTCCCCTTTTCTCTCCCCTGACTTGCAAACCCCAACTGACTGGCGTCTTCCGTCCTCTTTGCACCAGACAAAAGCGCTCAGCAGAGTTGGGAGCGAGGCAGTTGGGCAGCAAACCCGCCTGATCAGGGATGAGTGTCTGGGGAGCCCTGCCTCAGCGTTCAGGGCAGTGCTCAGCAGCAGGGCGCAGGGGTGGGTCGCCCCATGGGGGGGGGGGTGTAGCCTGCTGTGAGCAGGAGTAGCTGGGGCCTGTTCCAGAGAGACAGCAACCCCAGCCCTCCCAGACCAGGCTACTCCCTTGCACTTTCCCACAGAGGACAGTAATGACTACTCCCATGTTTCACATGAAGGGGAACATCCATAAAGCTATTTATTCAGCACTTATCGCACTGGGCACTGGGCTGATTTTTACATGCACTATCTCAGTTAATTAGGGAAATCTTAGGCTCAGAGAGATCATTATCAAGTTCAGGGCTGAGATGACGGGAGTGAGGTCTCCCTGACCCCCTCAGGCCACTGCACCCACCCCACTCTCCCTTCCGGGTGGCCCTGAACAGGAGGTCTTCCTTTAATTCTTCCCGCCTAGGTCAGAGGCTAGGTAGGACCTTGAGGGGTTGCTCCCCACCAGAATCCCAGCTAGTTTGTTTTTAGAAGAATTACAGGTTGTTAGAGCTGGAAGGGTCATTCCAGGCATGGTCTTGGCCCAAGAACTGAACAAACTTGTGTGGTGAGAGAGGAGAGACAGTGGGCCCTGCTTACCACTTGGGGCCGTCCGGAGAATTCCTTGCCCTTCTTGATCAGCACCTCCTTGGCTAGCTGGTGGTGGCCGATCATCACTGTAGTCTTGCCACCCATACGAAAAGAATAGATGGGGCCGTATTTTTCCTGCAGCTTGAAGAAGTTCACATGCTGATGGCCACTTCTGGGGATGAATGGCAGGCTGCCCACCAAGGGCAGGGACGGGAGGCTCTTGGGGTACTTGCCACTTGGGTGCTTTGCCTTGGGCCAAAAAACACAGGCTAGAGTAAACAGCAAGAGAGCCCAGAGCTCCCACATGGTGGCCTGGCGCCGGCAGGTAAGATGGACAGCTCTGGAGCAGAAGGGCTGCAGCCACTCTGAGGGGCAAGGAGGCCTTTTTAAGGGCTGCTGTGATTTTTACCTTGGCTGGGTGTTATCTCTTGCCTTGTGGGAGTTTATCCTGGAATGCAGCCAAGTCTGGTCTCTCATAGAATGGGGAAAGGCAGGGGGAGTGGAGACCTTCTTAAGGGCTGGCCTAACTCCAGGGTAAACCTCTAAGGGCGGGGCAAAGGAAGAGGCGGACCGCTGATCCCCCTCCCTTTTTCCAGAGTACACCAGAAGTGGAGGGCATCTGGGTCAGCAATCAGGTCTGGGACATTCCATGTAAAATCAAAATCACGAGGCAGGCTGAGTCACACTAGACAGTAATGGGAAGAACCCAGACGCCCTGACTGGTGTTTGCTGCTCTTTCCAGAGGCAGGGAAGCCCTCAGGTTGGGAGCATGGGACCTAGAGTCAGGTAGGTTTGGATTCAAATCTTAGCTTGACTACTTTCTAGCTCTCTGATTTAAAAAAAAAAATTATTGACGTTAGAGGAAGGGAGAGAGAGAGGGAAAAAAAAGCATTGGTTTGTTGTTCCGCTTCTTCGTGCATTCCTTGGTCGCTTCTTGTCTGTGCTCTCTGACCAGGGATCAAACCCGCAGCCTTGGTGTTACTGGGACAGTGCTCTAACCAACTGAGCTACCTGGCCAGGGCACAGTGGAATAGTTTTTCTCAAATTGGTTTACATTAAAATATACATGAAAAATGTTACCATTTTAAGTGAACAGTTACGCAGGGTTAAACACACTCCCAAGCTGTACCACATCACCTATGTACTTCGAAACTTTTATCAGCCCAAACAAACTGTGCCACTAAGCAGTGACTCCCCATTTGCTCCTCCCCCTGGCTCCTGGTAACCTTTCACCTACTTTGTCTCCATGAATATGTCCACTTCACATAAGTAGAATCATACAGTTTTGTGTGTGTTTGTTTGTGGCTTACTACACCTACCATGATGTTCTCGAGGTTCATCCAGGTAGTAGCAGGTGTCAGAACTTCAGTCCTGCGCTGGCCAGGTAACTTAGGTGGTTACAGCATTGTCCTGACGTGTCAAGGTTGTGGGTTTCATCCCCGGCCAAGGCACATAGGAGAAGCAACCAGTGTCGCATAAATAAGTTGAATAAGCTGATGTTTCTCTCTCTCTCTCACTCTAAAGTGAGTTACAGTTTAATCCTACTTTCAGATGTACACCCCAGTGATTAGACATCATACAACTTGCTATGTTATCATCCTGATTAACCTCCCATCCACCTAACAGCATACACAATGACCACGATATTACTGACTACATTCCCTATGCTCTACTTTACATCCCGAAGACTGTTCTGTAGCAATCAATTTGCACCTCCTAATCCCTTCACATTTTCAACCCTCCCCCAACCCCTCCCCTCTGGCAGCCTTCCAAATGATTTCTGTGTGCACGAGTCTGTTTCTGTCCTGCTTGTTTGTTTTGTTTCTTAGAGTCAGTTGTTGATAGGCACGTATCTTCTGGCATTTCGTCCTTTCTTTCCTTTGTGCCGTGTTTCTTGGCCTCCTTGTTTCGGCCGCCTCCCTGTGTTTGTTTCTACCTATTAGGTCCGACCGCCACGCCTCCCAGTCTTGGTAGAGTGGCCTTGCATAGTTAGGAGTCCTGTAGGGCCAAGTGGCAACGGCCTCTCGGTCACCCAAGCTGGGCACTCTAGGTGCACCCCTGTGGGCTGTGTGCACCCTTCTGTTGTAGCTAAGCCTTGATTGCTGTTGGCACGTCACCTCGATGGATTTACTCCCAGGCACTCAGCTGCAAGGACTGGCTGATGACCCCAACCACGTGGGGGATCAGCTGTGCAGGGACCCTCCCCACGGAGCAGGACTTACTGCACTGGGGGTCTGGTGCCCGCTGAGTCTGCCCCTGAGTGTGGCTGCTTTGGAGATGGTTGGGTGGTGGGGCTTCCACAGGGTCTGCAGCTGGCCACTGGGTGCCGTGGCTCTGGGGTCTCCTGGGGGGTGCAAGTCAAGGTCAGCTGTCACCTGTGTTTTGCCTGGGCAACTGGGCATGCGCCACAGAGTGATCTGCAGATGGCTGCTACCTGTGTTGGGCTTGGAAGAGGCCGCACTGGGAGCCAAGGCCAGCTGCTGCTAGTGCCCGGCCTGAGGCCACTTAGCCTGAGGCACAGGGCACACTGAGGCTGGATGCTGCTTGTCTGAGCGATTTTAGGAAAATCAGAAGCAGGAGCCAAGATAGGGTACTGGTGTGGAAAAGCCACTGGAAACCGCTCTGGAGGGGCATGGCCTGCTTCAGGGAATCACCAAGGCGGGGCAAACAGCAGCCAGATTGTTGGAGTCTCAGGTATGGAGCCTGGTTGCCAGCTCTGTGGGGGGAGGGCTCGTCAAAAGAACAGTGCCTCCTGCCAGCACTTCTGTCTGGGAGAAAGCTGTCCCTGTAGCTCTGCCATGATGCTGGACAATTCAGTTCCTCCTCCTGTGTCCCTAGTTCTCACCAAGCTGCTACCCTAGCCCTGAAGCTTAGAGCCAGTGAGTTTGACTAAGTCCATGCACAGGCCCTTTAAGAGGAACTGCCTGGCATTCCAGAAGCATGCCAGGACACTCAGCCACAACCTGCCCCAATTTTTACATCTAGAAGTGACAGGGACTTCTCTTTCTGGCCCTGGAGTCCTGGGCTGGAGGGTTAGTGTGGGGCTGGGCCTCCAGCTCCTCGGGACGCACCTCCACAGCTGAGATGTCCCTCCCGGTTTTTATCCATTGCACATCAGGGTGGGACTAGCCTGTTCCATGTCTTGGCCTCTCCTGCCAGTCAAAGTGCAGCTTCTTCTTTTCCTAGTTGTAGGACTTCCATTTAGCCAGACTTCAGGTGGTTCTGAATGATGGCTGTTTTGTAGTTTAGTTGTGACTTAGATGTGGTTATGGGGGGAGGTGAGTACCACCTTTCCCTCTGCCACCATCTTGCCTCGAAGTCCCACTGGAAGTTCTGCAGCCATTGGAGAGATGAGAGGCCCACAGCATTTTAGGGGGTTGAACCTGGTGTCAGCACTGGGGCGGACTGGATGAGGAGACCCTGTGCACAGTTCGACAACTGGCTGAGAAGTGGGGGGGTCTCGAGTCCTGGGATCCAGGCAGGGTCCTAAGTGGGGTCACCCCGCTGGTAGAAAAATATAAATGAGTACTTTCTAAAGTGAATGCCAAAGTCATTCTCTGATATTTCACTCCTAATCACAAACAAGAAATGGAAATTTAAAAAAATTGTTGCTTCACATTTTTATCACCATATTATAAAAGTTATAAATGATAATTACAGAGAGTGTGGAAATGTGATGGCTAAAAATAAATAAAATTTGAAATATGTTTTTTTAACTTCAGCAAGGTCATACTGCATTCTGGAGACATGGATATGTTTCTGTTTTAAGACTTTGCCACAACATCGTTGTTATGGCTGCATATTCTTCACCTGTACATGTGTCGTGCACAGTGTGTTTAACTGGCCCTGACATTCAGGCTAGTTCTGTGTTTGTCTTTATTGATATCAGCAACATGGCGGAATAGCCTTGCAGGGACACTTTGGTGTACAACCATTATCATTTTCTTGGGACGGAACCCTAAAAGCAGGATTGTTGGTTAAAGGCCATGTACGCCTGTTTTAAAGACTGGTGAGCCCTGGTTGGTGTGGCTCAGTTGGCTGGAGTGTCCCATGGACTGAAGGGCTGTGGTTCGATTCCTAGGCAGGGCACACGTCTGGGTTGTGGGTTTGGTCCCAGTCAGGGTGCATACGGGATGCAGTGGATTCATGTTTTCCTTTCTCTCTCTCTCCCCCTTCTTCTCTGGAATTAAAAAAAATGTGATAAATACTGACTTATTTATGAGATGCATTATATTAATAGAGATCTTGGTATCCAGCCATTTCTAGAATAACAGTAACTTATCTAGAGTGTCCGTTTTTAATATAGAATTAGATTCTCTTTGTAATAAACTTAGGATTTTATTTTTTCACATCTGTAGTCATATGAAAAATTGTAGTTTTATTTATGCATTGTCAAGTTTTGGTATTATGATTTTACTGGCTTTATAAAGTTGTTGGATAACCTTTTCATGTGTGTCCTAAAGCAGATTAAACAATACAGGAATTATCTATTCTTTGAGGCTGTAAAGAAGGTGACCATGAGACCTAGCTGGTGTGGCTCAGTGCATTGCGTACCAGCCTGCAAACCGAAGGTGACTGGTTCGACTCCCAGTCAGGGCACATGACTGGGTTGTGGGCAGGTTCCCAGGTTGTAGCATGTGAGAAGCAACTGATAGATTTATCTCTTGCATATTGATGTTTCTTTCCCTCTTTCTCTTTTTCCTCTCTTGTCTCTAAAAGTAAATCAATAAAATCTTTTTTAAAAATAAATAAAATCTAAAAAAAAAACCCAGGTGACCATGAGAAGTATCAGGTCCTAGGGTCTTTTTTGAGAGATAATTCTCTCACATTCTTGGAGGCTGGAAGTCCAGGATAAAGGTGCCAGCCTTGTCTCTTTCTGGTGAGAGCTCTCTTCTTGGCTGGCATGCAGATTGCCACTTTCTCACAGGGCAGCTGGAGAGGTAATTCTCTGACAATTCCAGTTTCTTCAGTAGCTATTGGCCTTCTCCACTCTCCTGAGTCTTCTTGAGTAACTGGAAATTAATGTTTTTCTTTATTTTTTTATTTAAAAAAATTTAAAGATTTTATTTTATTTTTTAAAATATATTTTATTGATTATGCCATTAGTTATTCTATTTCCCCACTTCATTCCCCTCTATCCTGCACATCCCCTCCCCCACCATTCCCCCCCTTTAGTTTATGACCATGTGTCTCAAGTTCTTTAGATTCTATATTTCCCATACTATTCTTGCCCTCCCCCCTATGTATTTTCTACCTACCATCTTTGCTACTTATTTTCTGTACCTTCTCCCCCCTTCTCCTTCTCCCACTCCCCTGTTGCTAACCCTCCATGAGATCTCCATTTCTATGGTTCTGCTCCTGATCTAGCTGTCCTCTTAGTTTGCTTTTGTTTTAGATGTGGTTATTAATAACTGTGAGTTTGCTGTCCTTTCACTGTTCATCTTTTTTATCTTCTTTTTCTTAGGTAAGTCCCTTTAACATTTGATATAGTAAGGGCTTGGTGATGATGAACTCCTTGAATTTGATCTTATCTGAGAAGCACTTTATCTGCCCTTCCATTCTAAATGAAAGCTTTGCTGGATAGAGCAATCTTGGATGTAGGTCCTTGCCTGGGCCCCTCTGCCCGGGCCTGGCCAGGCCCTGACTCCAGGTGCAGCAGGGTCCTGTTGAGCTGTTCCATCTGCCTGGCATGGCATGTCCCCACCTCCCTCAGGCTATTCTCCAAGCTGGCCTGCAGGTTTCTTGTGGGTCCAGGTTGATCTCCGAGGCCTGGGTTGCACGTCTTA